GTAATTGCCGTAATTATAAATACGGAACCAAAATTAAGCGTACCGACCAAAAGCCTGGGTCCGAATTCATCGGAAACAGGTCGTATGAAGTAATACCGAAATATACCGACCCGGAATTTTGGTCGATTTTCTGAATTTTGGCTCCGCCACATAATTACGGCAATCAGGTGCTATGCCGTAATTAATTCTACCATATGGTAGAATGCCGTAATGCCGTAATTCAGTAATTCTACCACCAACTATAATCCAGAGGTCGTTATAGACCTTGTAGAAATATGGACAACTGTATTTTTATATTTTATTGGTCAAATTAATTCCGTTAAGAGTTTCGTTAATCGTCAGTAGTTACTTCAAATCGTCAAGTTTCGTCAAACGAAACCATTGACGAAACCATTTCGTCAGCCCAAAATAGTTTCTTCAGGCATTATTTGCTTGTAACATACCTTAATTAATCAATTTTTTAATTGGAGCTGAGAACCCATTTGAATCTGATCAAATTTCACATTCCGATTAATTTTAATTAAATCACTCCAGCATTCCAATTGACAGCACTAATCATGAGAACTGCATGAAAGTGTCATCTTACTAAATAAGTAATTTAATTTGCAACACTAGGTCCCATTAATTTCAAAAGACTATGTACGTCGTACGTACATCGTTTCACTACGTTCCCGACATGTGGTACAAAAATCGATAATTAGATATAAAATACTCCATATGTATTAATTCACCCTAAATTTTTCATCATTCACGTAACGTTTTATAATTATTATATAAATTTTCTTTTCCTTGTCAAGCACTAATATATATTCTAAAATTTAGTGTTGATATATAATTAAGGAAAACAGTATCATAAACATAGCATGCCTGACTGGCTTAAAGATGCAATCAAAAATGAATATATTAAATTATTCGAATATGGATCTTTTGAGAATAAGAAATGGATTGGTGAAGGAGGATTTGGCAGTGTATTTGGTGCTTATTCTAAAAGCATTAATCAAACTATTGCTTTAAAGAGATTGCATCAGAATGTTATATATAATGAAGATTCATTTCATAAATTTATTAAAGAAGTATAATCAATTTTATGATTCTTTTTAGATATTCCTTGAAATATTATTCTAAACATTTATTAACTCACGTAGGTTAAGATTATTTCTAAAATCGGTCATAATATGAATATAATACAATTCTTTGGAATTACTAAAGGTATGTGAATTTATATAATACGGTAATTTGTCATAGGCAGACATTCGTATGATTGGCTGTTTAAATCAAATTAATTTTACATTATTTATACAGTTTAAAGTACTTTT